ATTTCCATAGCTGATGTAAAACGGAGACTGCTGTGACAGTACCTCACAAGGCTATAATGAACCAAAAGAAGTGCAAATGTTTAGGGTGCAAAATAAGATTTTCACCTCCTCTTGTTAGAAACATATGTATGTGTAATCATAAATTATTAAGAGCTATGATCTGGATAGTGAAGAGATTATACATCTGTGTGACAACCACTGCATAACATGTCCCAGAAGACCAGGCTACACAGATGGAGGTTAGATGAAAACAAGGAGCTTGAGGACTTGTGCAAGGCCTGCACATACTACTTACGTTCTGAATGAGAGTCTTTTCTCATGTTCCACAGAAGTGAATTCAGTCAGAGGCGATTTGGGTTTGTGGGGATAGCTGCCCTGCTCATCTCTACTAGCTGTACACTCTAGCACCTCCAGAGTAGCCTGATTCTTTAGAACTCTCTTCTGGCCACTTTAAATCAGATGATGGTCACTGTATTGTTGTTGAGAGACATCTTTAAAGTTTCTAATGCTGTGACTTTCTTTATACTCTTCAAACAAATGTGTTCTTCAGTTTTTCTCTCTGGAAGGATCTTGAATTGGCTTTTGCAGCAAGGAACACATTTGTCTATGACACTCTTCAAGAGCATGAAGAGAGTTTACTTCGAGCAATGGATCCCATTGTTAGAGCATTTAGTTTATCCGCTACCTGAAAATCAGTGGTTTTAGAAAATATTATTTTATATTTCAGTTGTACACTATGTCATCAAAAATATAACAGGACAGAAAAGATGTGAAGAAAATACTATTTGATATTTCAGGTTGAACCACATGACTTCCATTATAATATTGATGTAAAGGTTCAGTCAATTGCTGCCTAAGTCTGTGGTTGAATCAGTAGGATAAAATAAAGCATACTGGTTTCAAGCAAAGTAGTAGAAAACCCATCCAGCCGCTCTGCAAGTAGACATAGGCTGTTCGGAAAATGTCAGATATTATTTATATGCTGCTAACAGTGATTTAAGTACTTTACAAATGAATGTGAAGGAAATCATTTATATTCCTGCTCTGAAAAATTCTCACTGGGGGTATGACTCCAGAATAATTGGCAACTTCTTTGCAGCCTCTGGAAAGTTGAGGAATTCTGAACCAACATGAGACTGAACAGCTGATGCCCTCAGTAATGTTCCCTGTTGATTTGCACTGATGGAATAAAAAAAGCTTAAATTGCTTCCTTTTCATGCTTTTCTTGCTCTGCAGGAAGGACTGTAATACCCAAAGTTGTTAACTGTCTTAAATTACCTTATCAGTTCAAAAGCAATAGCATAATACTTAAAACTATGACACAGCGTGGAACTCCAGTTTTAAGTATTACATTTCCTTGGCTAATATATTTGTCTTGCATATAGTGGATACAGGAAAAAAAAATGAGAAAGTATTAAAAAGGATTCAACATCAAAGC